TATTGGGTTTTTACAGACGTGTATCAATCAGATATGATTATTTACGTCTGGGACCGACCTTTAAACGTCACCATCCGAAAGACGTGACTCAGTTTCGAACCTGCGTCCTCGGCTGAATCAGTTTGTAACTTCCACTTTTTAGCTGGATTACAGGCGCACGCCACAACGCCTAGTTGTGGTGTATAAACCGCACCCCCGACTTTGAAATTTTGTCGGCGGCAAAAAAGTGCGGTTTATACACCGTTATATACGGTACTAATTCATATATTTGGTAAATTTGTTCCTCTCATGGTCTGTGAGAGATATAGGGTAGTCCCATATACATGTACATCTTTCTGTGTATAGTGCTTGTAACTTTACGAAGAATGGGCCAAATTTCTTATCATTTTGATGATTCCAGAACCTTGCAGATGCTAGATGCTAGATGATCAACCTTTTCTGATCGATTCCAGAACGTTTCTTTCACAATGCAATCGCATGACCATAACTGGTCTTTACCTTCAAAATAATTAACATGTTTTAAATATTATCTTGATTCTGTGAAGGGGGTTGGGGATACAATCCAGAATATATATCTGACAAGCCCTGCCCCTGTAAATAGATAAAATAGTAATAGTAATCCTACATGTAGTGAGTTTATTACAGTTTATAGCAGTGCACTATATGCACCCAAAATGAACAAGTTTGTTCAACCCAATTCCATTGTATCATAGAAAGTGTGATTTTTGCCATACACTACTCCTGTATGCAGCTGCTACACTTTATGTACATGTAACAGTGAGTGAAACACATTGATAATTTCCTGTCTTCTTGCCAAACTAGTCAGCTGATCATGAGGTCATCAAAATCAAAATGAAATTAAAGTCACACTGACAATCAGTCAAGGATTGTTTTGTAATTTACACTGTACCTGTTCAAAGTAGAGTTGATGTGGTCTAGTGGATACAGTATGTCACTGAACAGTGAGTAGCATGGTTCATTCTTCAAGTCCCAGCCGTGGCACTAACATCCTGTGGCAAGACGTTAATATGCACTGCCTCTCTCCATCCAGGAGATGATGTGACTACTTTGCCACTGCCCTACATGCATGCATGTGAACCGTGCAAAATAGTATGAACACTTTCTAAAGAGTGGAGATGGTGCACACTTGTGTATTAAAGGCCTTGAAATCCAATGACCAGGGAGAATAATAATAAATTACATTTAATGTGCATTAAAGTATCCTCTAATGTACCAAATAAATATATGTAAATTAACATTATTGATATTATTCCTCCATTTCTGTTTATTCCTCCATTTCTGTCTTTGCTTGTCATGAAAGTATTTGGATAACCTCTTTTGTTTCTTGTACATTTTTTTTATTTATTTTTTTTTTTGGGGGGGGGGGCGGGGGGGGGGGGGGGGGGGGGGTAATTTAGTCCGTCATAATTTAGTCGGTCATGTCGGTTACTTTTAATAATTTAACAATAAAACAAGGCTGAACTCTCATACATGTACATATAGAATTGTACATGAATATGTAGGGGTCTTGTACATACATAAATAAGCCCCCAATTATTTATTTAGGACCGCCCCTTCCCGATGTGGGTATTTAATGCCATACTGTACTAGAAGCACTACCACAAATTCCCCTCTAGTGCCATCTCAGGTCAGCTGGTCCCTTAACTCACTGCTTCCCTATCTCTGCTGTTGCCTCCTGTATCGAGTTCTCTGTCTGCAAAGTGCGAATTATAGGTCTTGGGTGTAATATGCACTGTTGGTAAGTTGACCTTGAGATGGCACTATGCAATAAATTTTATGCTACTAGGGTAGAAAGTTCATCAGTTCAGTATCGCTTTTAAAAGGAGGCCTGTACATGTTCATACACTGTACAAACCCTCAATATTGAAATCTGACTCCACCCCCCACCCCTCCCTGAAACAGTTTGACAATGAATAGCTGTTGTAGAGTTTTATCATTCAATTTGTAGAAATAATGAAACATGTTATTTATTATGTGGATTATTTATTGAGGTGTGAATTGATTCTTGAGAATTTGAGATGAACATTTTATTTCTCCCTTCGTAGTGATATAATACAATCAATTTCTAATCATGATATAAACTTTTTATAAAGAATATCCATTCTCCTCGTGCGCTTACCATGCAGGGCCTTGTTAATGTGTCTTAACCTCTATTAGCTGGTCTCCTTCATATTTACTCAGCTCAATATTAAAGCATCACATTCAGTCTGACTGGTTTCTAAGCAAAGTTCCCACCCCATCCCGCCCCTTTTTAACCGTCTCATTATTGAATAATAATAATAATAATAATAGATCACATTTATAACGCACCTAATATATTGTTTCTAGGCGCATACATTGTTTAAGACAGTCACAGTTTTGCACCAAACACTGCTTGCCATGAAACAGGGACACAATGCCTTATTGTAGAGCATACAGAGTTTGACAACAGAATTATTCACACCGGGTCACCCCTTGTAAATTTGATATTTATTGTATTTTTCGTAACTCGAGAGTGAAAGGTAGACTGGGTGAATCAATTAATGGCTTTGTAGAAAGATTACTTTTTATATGTAAGCTTTAATATGCCGCATTCTCAAGAAACATAAATTGGGACAAATCAATTTTTGGCATATTTATAAAATAACAAAACTTGGTCAGGATATGAATTGTTGACTGTATGGTTTTCAAAAACTACAAACAGGTTGAAATTATTCACAAAGTAAACGCAAGTGAAGGGGGGGGGGGTATTCTATCTTTGAGAACATTTTGAAAAGTAATGACGGACGCTAGTTGGGTGAAAAAAGGTTGCGAGTAATGAGAGCTAGGGTTAACATACCGGTACTTTACAAGTTACAATTTATGTGACATAATATTACCCCACCTTCCCTTCCAAAATCTTCTTCCCTACACGGGAGAATAAAGGGCTCATTGTTGCACAGCAATGTTTCTTTAGGCAGATTAACTCCTTTCGCCTGAAGAGGGCTTTAGAGGGGTGCATTTGTTTAGAAGCCAGGCAACGAGGAAATTAATATTTTGTGTTATGATCATTTACTGGCTACATGAACAAAAGCACCACAAACCCTCATGCACAGTTTCAAGTCTTCCACTTGCACCAACCAAACTGCACCATTCATTAATATGTTGTGATTACATGTTCATTATGATCATTAACTGTATTAAACTGGCTACATGTACATGAACAAAAGCACCACAACCCCATGCGCGGTTTCAAGTCATTCACTTGCACCAACCAAACTGCACCATTGTCACTTGCAATGTTAATACAATCTCAAAAGCACACTATAGATGTCACCCGGCCTCACTCACAATTAGTCCACACAACAGCACTATAATCGTTTCTAAAATTCTAACTTCATTAAATATTTTATGGTATCGATATACCTTAGTCACACTGCCAAACCGACTCCAGACCGACTCTGAGCCGGCTTTATTTTTGCCATAGGGGTAATGTCATTTTTGGGTCGGTCTGTTTTCGGTCCGGTGTCGGTCTTGTCGGTGAAACTCTGGTGTAACTATAAGCTTTGCAAGAACAGTATAATATGTGTATAGTATTGTGTATGCATGGTGGATACCTGTATGTGTTGTTCATGTATGGTACTAATTTGCGGTTTACTGGTTGCTATTTTCTTAAAATTAATTCAGAATGATAAATTATCATTACAGTGCCATAAAAAGCAATTAATTTCCCACCTCAACATTTCAATAGGCCAACTACAAAGCAAATTAACGAGGCATTTCTTTCATGATACTAATTTGTGGTTTATTGTTTTTTAATTATATTATTCATGATGATAGATTAAAGTGCCATAATTGAAAGCAATTAATTTTTCCCTGAACATTTTTATGTGCACTGCAAACCAAATTAACTACCTGTAGTTATTTTTATAGTGACATAATCCATACCATTAATTTTTCCCTCAACATTTTTATGTGCACTGCAAAGCAAATTAACTGCCCATAGTTATTTTCTGGTTACATAATCCATACTGCACTACCTTTATATTAAATTTTATTACATACATATACATGTACATGTATTACATTTTATAGTCAGTTATTGATGTAGTTTCATGTCTAGTGTTCACTGTTCATGTCTAACGTTTCATTTGCATCTAATATTGGAGTAGCAAATTTTGTGACTTATGACATTTATTTCTCTCTTTCTCTTTCTTTTCCTTTTCTTTCTTTCCCTTCCCGTTCATATTGCATGTGAAAAAACTTAAATACCTTCTATTATTTATTTATTCATATTTTTTTCCTATTATACATGTATATTCTCTTTGAAACTACATGTATTTTTTGTCTTTTCTTTTTTTCATTTGCAATCCATGCAACTCTTCGTTCATCTGTTTTTGCCTTCTCTTTGTATCAAATTGATTCACTCCTTATCACATTCGCTTTCTTTTCTCTCTCTCTCTCTCTCTCTCTCTCTCTCTCTCTTTCTCTTTCTCTCTCTTTCTTTCTCTTCTCTCTCTCTCTCTCTCCCTCTCCCTCCCTCCCTCCCTCCCGCTCTCTCCCTCTCTCCCTCCCTCCCTCTCTCTCTCATGTCATCATTTGCATTGGCTGCTTTAATATCTTCTAAATGATCTGATATCATAACTTCCTTTTTAATTTCTCCGTTCATCTCTCTTTTCTATTTTTTTTTTCTTTCTACAATTTTCATCAATAATTTCCTATTGGAATTACCTCTTCCTACTCCTCTGCACGCACATGACATTGTAACATTCTGAATGTTTTAATCCATTTTTACTCCTTCTTTCTCATCATGTCGCCTCATTATACTTTTATCTCTATTATCAAATATCTTTTCTCTACTTACTCTTGTCATTTCTAAAAATCATTTCTTTCTGATCTCTCTCATCTCATTAAATCATAATAAATATCAAATGACTTCTCTAAACCTCAATTTTTTCACGAATTCTCACCTTTTCTATAATTTATTCATTTTTTTTTCTCCCCGTTCCGTCCACCCCCAGGTATACCATTGAGCTAACTCCTGGCTTCGTCTTTCCCTTTCATTTATACCTCATCCCATTCGCAAGCATAGTAGGAATATGTTTCATCGTAATGTTATGCTTCATGGTAAGTTTTAAAAAGGACCTAAAAATCTAGATGGTAACCATGACTACCCGGGTACCCCACATGGTTAAACAGCATTGAACTCTAGCGGCAGATTTGTGATGATGTTTTGCAATCCGTTTCCCCGCGTCTACGGAACAAACTCCTAGCATTGCCAAGAAAACAGTTCTTCACTCTACTCCTTCAAAACATCTGAAAACATACCTCTACAATTCATATTTATTTGTTCATAATTTATTATTAGCCTCCGGAAAAGGAACTCAATAATCCAATCATCATTTATTACTATTTATAATATTTTCTTGACTTTGTAGTATGAAAGAGATTTCTTTATGATTTCATGGGCTGGCTCTGATCGGATGATTTGTTAGTTTCTTAAAGCCAAAATCTTACAACAACTTGTTGCCAGAGTTCAATGTGGGATAACTATCTGTGGTACCCGGATTTCGATGGAGTACTAGATATCACTGACCAGGGTCCAGATCCTTTGTCTGCATTAGGGTCCAGCTCCTAGAGTCCAGCTCCACATCCTGGTCCTGGTCCTACTCCAGCTCCTACAGTATGTCTTCTTGGTTCCCACTTCATAGGAGTTTACCAAGATCAATAGCCCTCACCCTTCCAGTCTCCTCCCTTTTATCACATTGCTCTTCCTTTTCACTGATCACTCCCTCCCCCCCCCCCCCACCCCCTCTTTTTTAAATTTTGTTTTTTTACCTTTATGCTTTCTTTAGGCATGACTCTTTCCTTGCACTTCTTTTGCTACTTTTTTGTTTTGTTTTTTATTTCAATACTGATGCATGTATTTTTATGTCTGTGAGGGGATTTGTTTGGCAAAACCATGAGCTTAGCAGCAATAATTGAACAAAAAGTAACTGTGAGCCAATTGGGCCTTATAAAAGAGAGAGAAGGACCCCCTTCCCCCCCCCCCCCCGAGGAAAAAAAGTTGATAAAATATCAAATTTCTTCTTCGTCGTCGTCGTCTTTCTCTTCTTCTTCTTCTTCTTCTTCTTCTTCTTCTTCTTCTTCTTCTTCTTCTTCTTCTTCTTCTTCTTCTTCTTCTTCTTCTTCTTCTTCTTCTTCTTCTTCTTCTTCTTCTTCTTCTTCTTCTTCTTCTTCTTCTTCTTCTTCTTCTTCTTCTTCTTCTTCTTCTTCTTCTTCTTCTTCTTCTTCTTCTTCTTCTTCTTCTTCTTCTTCTTCTTCTTCTTCTTCTTCTTCTTCTTCTTCTTCTTCTTCTTCTTCTTCTTCTTCTTCTTCTTCTTCTTCTTCTTCTTCTTCTTCTTCTTCTTCTTCTTCTTCTTCTTCTTCTTCTTCTTCTTCTTCTTCTTCTTCTTCTTCTTCTTCTTCTTCTTCTTCTTCTTCTTCTTCTTCTTCTTCTTCTTCTTCTTCTTCTTCTTCTTCTTCTTCTTCTTCTTCTTCCTCCTCTTCCTCCTCCTCCTCTTCTTCTCTTCCTCTTCCTCTTCTTTGTCTTCTCTAATGCCCCGTTTGTCATTCAGAGTCAGATTGTGATTGAAAATTGAGTGCAAAGACCTCAGTATTCAGTTATTCATGCCATTACTTCTTTAACTCAAATATCAAGTAGACCCACCCATTCAGCTGCAACCACAGTTTGATTGAACAGGGACAGCAAATTTCCTTCCAAACTATAGTATCTTCATTGGACTGAATAGTAAAGTACATTATTCAATTTTTCTCAGACAAGCGCAAATCACTTTGAACATCTTGCATTTTGAGAGCATTGAAAACAATCTGTCTCATGGCTTTGCTGACATTTTCATCTTCCTCATGCATGCTATTGATAGTTTCATCTTGTAATCCATTCGCTGTCTGTGCTTTGTACTTGAAATTAATTGCTGTTTCGTCAAGCAAGCATGCTAGATACCTATCATTAATCTTGCACATACTAATATACTTCTGCTGCTTATGTCGGTACTTGTAAGGTACGTTTTAATTGCATGTTGTACTCCAGGTATCGTTTGTTTTGAGCCAGAATGGCATTATGTCATACCTGTATGCCTTAACACAGAGTTAGTGCCCTTCAGGCTCTAGACAGATGATATATGCCGTATAAGAAGTCTCATCTGAATGCTCCTATTCTAACGGTGTATATTCTTTATGTTAGCATGGAACCTCTTTCACACTCGCACTTTAATAGATTCCGATCTGTATTTTATAATCTATCCATTGGAAGTAGTCCAATGTGAATGCTCCCATTCTAGCTGCATACATTTCCTATGCATGAAACCCCTTTCACACTCACTCGTACCTTTTAGACCTGTATTTCAACTATGCTATTGTCTAACAGGTGGGTGATGGCGCTCTACCCTTTCACATATTATCCCTGGAGTTATTACTTGCTTCCTTTCCTTTGTATGAGCACTTCTTGCACTGCTTTCCTCATCCTGTATGCGGTGAGTATTCAAGTCCTACCCCCCTCCCTCTTCCCTCTTCGCTCTACCACATCCTCGCCTCGCTCCACCGCGCCCCCTCCTCGCTTAACCGCGCCCCGTCCTCGCTCAACCTCTCTCCTCATCTTTCCCCCCTCATCTCCCTGCCTCTTTGTCGTTTGCCATCGGGTCTGTGGTAGTTTAAAGCTCTTATGGATGTGTTCATACACTGATTTAATTCAATAGTGATTTGATGGAGAGGAACATTATTGAATCTTAGAGATTGGTTGTCCATGTACAACACATGCTCCTGCAACAATTATAACTGAATTCCTAAATTCAATGGTGGATCAGGCATTACATCTAAACCTAACAAAGAAAATCCAACCCTATCCCTAATGATAAGCGCAAAATAAGCGCCACACAAGTCAGAGGTCCAATATTAGACACATGCAAGGCAAGGTACGCTTATTTTGCGCTAATTTTTAAACCATGGGTTATGTAAATGAGGGTTTAAACCATGGGTTAAATCTAAACCTCCTTTGTGAAGACGAAATAGAGCCTGGAGCAATTGCCGCCAGATCAAATATCGGATCACCTGAAAACTTGGCGCAGTTTACATGAATCATTCAATTGATTCTTCGGCACTCCTCAGTGTCGAGACCTGTCCCCCATCTCGTCTCTCACCGATCATGACTCACTCCGTGCACATCCCGTGACAGAAATCTGATAACGGCTCCATTCAAACCTGTTTCATTCATGTATGAACACATCCCCGTAGAGCTTAGAACTCGGTGACAGACCAGTGACAAGGCCTTGCAGGTAGCATGGAGGGTTAGCTTGGATATTCTTTTGTTTATTTTCTCCCCTGTTTGGTCATTTCTATATTATGTTGTGTTTTCAGGTACCATGTGGTCCTTTTAGCCACTGAATCCCCATCCCTGGGATTTTACTTCTTACCTTTCATAAGCGTCACGTCCACTTGTCTCCTCTTCTTTGCCATGTATGCGGTAAGTAGGGTCGTACGATGCCCCCCTCCCCCCACCTCCCTGCCCCTTTATTACCCCCCCCCCCTCCCCACCATCCTGCCCCTTTGAAGCTGTGCACTGGTTCAAAGCATTGTTTGTTGAAGGAGCATTGGTGGAACATGGAAGTTTATAGACATTCCATCTTCATGTCTTGTCTTCTTTGCCATGTGTGTGGTAAGTAGGGTCGTCCAGGCTCCCTCCCCCCCCCCCCCACGTTCGTACAGTGGGGTTCGATATGTACATATAGAAACGCTGGTTCTGAGTGGCAAGGCACGATAAATGCACCCTACATCAGCCCCCTTTGTGGTAAGTAAATGTAGATGTGTTGCCCTCATTGTTGTGGCTGGTAAGTACATTTATCTAGTGTCTCCTTTGACACATTAAAACCCTGAGCATGCAATAAGCGAGTTCGTAAATAGCTCTGAAACGCATGACCCCAAAATATCCACAGATCTTTTACACGATGGATACGTCCCACGTGTGCATTTTAGAGTACTCACTACCAAAGGTATAGAGGTGCTTCATGAATATCTTTTGTTTGCCTCTTGAGAAGAATACTTCCACCTGTGTATCAGATAAATGTAATGTTGGTGCATAAATGAATACTGATTACATAACTTTTATGAGCACGATCCGAGTATTCGTCACAATGGTTTTTTCACAATTTGGGTACGAATGACCGTTATCTGCCCATGCGCAAATCCTAATTACGAACTCGCTTATTGTTGCTGGAGCAACTGTCTGATCACCTACTGGTCTTGCATTTCTCTTCTTGAGATAAAGGTAAGCACTATATACAGCAGGGCCCTGTTTAATAAAAACTTGTTTTCAATAACAACTGTCACATATCTATGAGAAATCTTTTGACAGCCAATCAAATGCAAGGATTTCAGTAGCTTACAACATTGATCGTAACTTGAAAAAGACCGTGATCAACAATTTGGACTCTTTCTGTTATACCACTTAACACCACCGATGCCCTGAATATGTTCTTGGATGATGCAATAAAGGTACTTTGTCTCATTTGCAGGCCAAAAAAATGAAAAGGTTAAATTCCAACAGCATTTGAAAGATGATACTAATTAAGAACTCTTCTTCAAACAAAAGGGCTTGAAAATGTGTTGTGGTGGTAAATAATGACCATTAGTTGTTGAATTGAATTTAGCGATCACGGCCATTTAATTAAATAGTCTTATTTTTTTACCCTTGATCCAAATGGCGGTGCGTTTTGTGCTGCACAAAGATTCGAGCAGTTTAATTTGGGCCATTACAAAAAATGGGTTGTTGATGTAGACAAATGCTTGTGAACCCTTAGCTGCTCATTTTATGCATGTTTTTGCCAAAGACAAAAAGAAGTTGGTCACTCATTCAATAGTGTCTGACAGTGAAGTCAAGAAAATAAACAGGTTTCCTTGCATAATTTGAATATTAGGACACTGCTAACGTTTATATTTCACAGACAGGACATACATGACTTATTCATAATTCCTGCAAAGTTCTACAGAATTTGATAATGGCTGCAAACATGGCAAAAAGAATACACTACCTTTAAAGTCGGATTAAAATCTAATGCAGTTTATAGGCGCAACCAACGTAGAATAGCACATTCAGCAACAGAGATCTACATTTGGGGTTGTACATTGATGTTGTTAGTTTTTATGGAGCTTGTCATTCAGTTTTTTAATATTTACTTTTAAATATTAAACATAGATTGAACCCAACGTTGTTAGCTTTTACCATGGATTTAGAAGCATTTATAAAAGATGAGAAGTGCTTTTTTGCAAATATATCTTGTAAATTTTCGCTTTACTTATCCAACTCCACTATCATAAGTTAACAACTTAAGCTTGCATTTTGATATCATCAAGCTGTCAATGAAACACACCTTCATTCATTATTCGCTAAAGAAATTTTGTTGGAATAGACAAGGCCAGATTTATGCTTTTCATCTCGGTGCATGTACACACATTGTATGCATTACCATAAACTAAAATATCAGCCAAACATTTGTCAGTGTTCGTATCTATTGAACCATAGTTTGCTTCCTTGTTTTATATAAACTCCCATCTGCTTTTTGCTTGGACATGCTATTACATGTACAATTACAAACAGGTAAGTAGACAATTCATGGCATGCCCTTTCATATTCTCTTTTTCTGTACTATCTGGTGATTAAAAATGATTTATTCCAAGGATTCATAATGCTGGAGATTTGTTTCTCTGAAGATTCATGATTCCAAAAGTTAAATAGGGCTCATTGATCCCAAGGTTCGTAATTACGAAAATATTCATAATTCTGAAAATGAAATAGGTGCGTAATTCCGAAAGATGAAAAGGGTTTCATAATTCTGAGAATGAAATAGGGTTCATAATTACGAAAATGAAATAGAGTTCATAATTACAATCATGATATAATTCTGAAAATGAAATAGGTTTCATAATTATGAATATGAAATAGGTTTCATAATTATGAAAATGCAATAGGTTTCATAATTCGGAAATGAAATAAGGTTTCATAATTCTAATAATAAAATTGGTAGGTCTCATAATTCCGAAAATGAATTAAAAGTTTTATAATTCTGAAAATTAAATAGGTTTCATAATTATGAATATGAAATAGGATTCATAATTATGAAAATGCAATAGGTTTCATAATTCGGAAATGAAATAAGGTTTCATAATTCTAATAATAAAATTGGTTTCATAATTCAGAATAATAAAGTAGGTCTCATAATTCCGAAAATTAAGTAAAAGTTTTATAATTCTGAAAATTAAATAGGTTTCATAATCCTGACAAAAAACATTACTATCAGCATTACCATTACCAATGAAATAGGTTTCATACTGTAATTCTGAAAATGAAATAAGGTTTTATAATTACAAAGTTGAAAAAGGGTTAAATTCCGACAATGAAATAGAGTTAATTCATATCTAAAATTAAATAGGGTTTGTTATTTTGAAAATGAAATATGGTTCTTCATTCCAAAGGTTCTAAACTCCGCAAATAATACAGTGTACTATATAAATTTCGGAATTATGAACCCTATTTCATTTTAGGGAATATGATTTGTTTCAATTTCAGAATAATGAAACCCATTTATTTTTTTCGGAAATATGACCATTTGGAATTATGAACCTTCAAAATGTTGCGTCTTCAGAATTTAAACTTGTTGAGTAACGAACCTCAGGAAGTGCAAATGTTAGGATGAACGAACCTTTGGAATTATGAATCTTTGAAAAACAATATGTAACTGCATGAGCAAATAATGTGTAGCACAACTTCTAGTAGTGCATAGGATATAGGAGATGTCACTGGTGTTTGTGTAATAAATTAAATACAACTGGAAAGTAAAGATAATGAGAGTCTTTCATCAGCCAGAAATAGTTTCATCAGGCATGCATCATGTCTCCCCAAACAGGTATAGGATCGCTCTGTATCCTCATTATTTCCTTTGGATATATTACTTCTCGCCTTTTGTTGTCATCACTCTCATCTGTACTTCTTTCTGCTTCGTATTCTCGGTGAGTTACGGTGTCTAAGGGGGTCCGCTCGCTATTTATAAGGACTGCTATTATAAAAGAGCGCTATTCATTTAGTAATGCGTTGTGGATAGCGTTCCCTATGCATAATGGTCCTTATGAATAGCGGTCCTTATGGATAGCAAGCTTGACCCTGTCTAAGTCATATGGTAGTTTCTGCGTTGTGTCTTGTAAGTATGGCTAAAGGTTTTTAAAAAAAAATAATATTCATAATAAATAAATTAAATTGATGAATAGAATTCTTGAAGGTAAGTTACCAACTGAATTATTCATACCCTTACCAAGTTATGTAATTTTGTAAGTATGTGATAACAAAATATCTGTCCCTATATGATGAGAATGTGATGTATTGAAACTTCCCTGTACATCTACAAGTATTCTTCAAAGGCCCAATTTAACCAGTCCACCTTTTATTCTTGAGTTACATTTACCCAAAACACAAAAACATCAATTTCATAAGGTTTTTTAATAGTTTATTTTAACTGATGTACATGTACACATACAGTGTATACATGTAAGAAGACAATACTCAATACGGTATGTATATGTATGTACATGATTTTTATTTTTCAAGTAGAATGTAAGTGGACCATCTACTGTCTTATATATGTTCATGTACACCTGAACATGAATTTCTTTGAAATGTAGAAGGTAAGTAGATTCTACATTTTCATGACTGTACATGTATTTCTTGCTCTTTGACCAGAATAGAGATACAGGTTTATCTGTCTCTTTGATGAATGTAAGTATGGAAATATAAAAAAATCACAGGTCAGAAATGAAAATTTAATTTTAATTTAATTTCTTTGATTGAAAGGCCCCTTCAGAGAGGTAAGCAGACTCTTGTTCCCTACATGTATGTCTCTATTAACCCACTCTCTACTGGAACCAGGGACCCGTTTCACAAAGCCTTTTTTCAATGACAAATGACAAAAATCAGTGACAAATCTGCTGATAACCAATCAGAAGCAAGGATTTCAGTAGCTTATAACAAAAACTGTCATGTGTCACTGATGACAAGTTTTGTGAAATGCCCCCCTGGTGGTTCTTGTGTTAAGTCAATGGGAATGAGAGAGTTCAGTCGGAGTCAACAGATTAATCACTGATTAAGTAGAAATGTCTGTTGTTCTTGCTTCTCTTCCTTTTTATTTATTTACCCAATTTTCACCCCCCCCCCCAATCCTGACCCTTGGCCCGTACCCCCAAACTTGGCATCCCCTACCCCTCTCGAATGGGGACATTGGTGTCTGTGCGAAAACAAAGGATCTGGACCCGATTTCAATTCTTTATGAAAATGTGATATTTTCATTTTATATAAGTAATAGAATGTGACGTAATCATTTTATATAAGTAATAAAATGTGATATTTAATTTGATATAAGTAATAAAATGTGATATTTAATTTCATATACAGTAAGTAATAAAATGTGATGTTTCATTTGATATATGTTGTGGAATTACACTTAGTTAATAAATTTGAATTTGATACAGTGTATTAAAGTTTTTATTTGTAACATATACATGTATGGCCATATAACATTTAAGTATCGGCTATTATTAAATTGTAATTATATTGTACTGGTAGTCAAATTTATCGATGAAATTTTCTTGAGGTATTTTGTTTAAATTTTAAATAAAGCATAAGCATATGGAAATAGCATATAGACTATTTTTCTAGATTTTAATATAAGAATTGTGTTCATGATTGAAAAAAGATTTATTGTAAGGGGATTTGTATTAGCTGGTATAATAAAGATATTACAGTTCATCAGAAATTAACATAACACCAGCAAAAAATAGGGTTTAACAGAAATATTGTGTTATCTATTGCATTCCACAGATTGCAAAGTATGTGAGAGATCAACGAAGGCAAAGGAAAGCCAGACTATCCCGGGACCATCTCAAAAAGCTGCCTATCAAGAAATTCAAGAAGGGTATGTTTGGTCATTGTCGTATCCGGACACCTACCCCCTGGACATCCACCCCCCCCCCCCCCCCCCCCCGGATAACCACTCCCAGTCAACTTCTCCCTAGGACAACTACCCCCTAGGGCAACCACCCTCTAGGCCGACTACCACCCAGACAACTACCCCAGACAACTACCCCCTAGGACAACTAGTCCCCGGACAACTTCCCCCTAGGACAACTACCCCCTAGGGCAACTACCCCCTAGGACAACTACCCCGGACAACTACCCCTTAGGATAGTTGTCAGGGGGTATTTTTCCTAGAGGATGGTTGTCGTAGGGGGTAGTTATCTGGGGGTACAAGTAGTTGTCCAGAAGGTAGTTGTCCGGTGTCCTAGAACCGGCCATTGTTAATCTAAGAGATGATGATTGGTATACAAAACCAAATACTGTTAGAGCATTGAAGAGAATCATACTAAATCTTTTCAGTTTAGTGGTACCAGACATGACTAGCATTAAATGCTATTTTCTGGTCCCATTTATCCTTTCAATGTTAATCATTCACATTTGGTTGTTATATTGATGTACATTTTGTTTAGATAATAAACTTCAAACTCAATCTGAAACTCATTTTGCACTTGTCAAGAGTAATTGTAAAGGAGAGGTTTTATAAAATAAAATTAGGCTCTGATTGGCTGGTAGGAGTAACAGGAAGCTAGCTGTAAAAGTAGCTGTTTAATAAAACATCCTGTTTAATAGTAAGGGTTGCTATTACAAGTTTAAAAGGCAATCGGACCCTTGTGGTAAGTTGATTTGTATGGAAGCAGGAAAATAACAAACAAAATGGCAAAAGTTTTAAATGAATCGGACCAATAGTAAGGTAGTTATGAATGTTTGAAATGTGAGATCAAAGTCTATCTGCATCTCAAATTGGTAGTTTGGTTTAATAGCGGATAACTCTCCCATTTGCTGTGTACAAAAATATCACTAATTTCTGTTTTTCTCATACATGTAAGTTCTTTCTCTCTTGGGGCACTACTCAAAATTTATCATAGGTAGCATATTATTATAGGTCCTCTCAAAATAATAGACCCTCCTGAGCCATGAACCATGAAAAATTAATTTTTAGTCATTTTATTTGTTGGAACTGATGGGAAAGTAGTCCGGCACCACACCACATTGACATTACCACTTCAGCTAATTTGAAGTGCCCATACGTATAGTGATTACAACTTAAATATATTCATAACTTTCTTATATTTAGTCGGATTGAATTGAAACTTTTCATCAGTTTGCTTCTGATGTTTCTGCTTTCGTTTAGACCATCGGTAGTTGTCTATTTGGGATGGATTTCCCTTTAACATCCCTAGTTTCCCATTATTTCTAGCAGCCAATCGGATGATAGCGCCAGTCTTCAAATACATGTGTGAGGGAGGCGTCTGAAGCAAAGATATCCAAACTGTCACAAGAAAATGATTTTTGGCTGTGTCTTTAAAAATTATCTCTTATAAATCAGACCTGATAATTACCTGATTAAAAAAAAAAAAATCCAGATCTTTTGTTTCCCCCTTGATTTTACCCCTATTTTCCAAATTTTTCCAGATTTTTCCAGATTTTTCCAGATATTTTTCCAAACAATTAATCAAAAGCTAGGGGGCGGGGGGATGTTGTTCGATGCCATTTTCTCCCCCCCCCCCAATCTTTTTTCGTAGTGCTCATTATCACCCTCGATAAATGAAACTTCCTTATGAATTTATCTTTCTGTTTTTTCTTCTTCAGGTGATGAATATGATATATGTGCTATCTGCCTTGATGACTACGAGGAAGGTCAAAAGCTGCGCATACTGCCTTGCAACCATGGTAACGAATAACATATAATTAAGTGTTGAATATTTCATATCTATCCTCATCTTAAAGGTACTATGTCTCATTTGCAGGCTATAAAAAATGAAAAGGTTAATGGTACTACATGTATGTCCCTTTTGCAGCCAACCTCAAATACTGTAAAACTTTGCAGGAATTATGAATAATTATGTCATGTATGTCCTATCTGTGAAATTTAAACGTTAGCAGTGTCCTCATATTCAAATTATGCAAGGAAAGTGGGAAACCCGTTTACTTTCTAGACTTACTGTCAGACACTATTGAGTGACTGACTGGCTTTTTTCTTCTTTGGTAATAACATACATAAAATGAGCTGTAAAGGGTACATGAGCATTTGTCTACATCAATAACCCACTTCTTGTGATGGCCAAAATCAAACTGATTGAATCTTTGCGCAGCATAACACGTATGACCATTCGGTACAATGGTCTGAAAATCAAGACTATTATTGGCTCTATAGCTATAGCTATAGCTATAGCAAACATTTAAATTTCACAGATAGGACATACGTGACATATTCATAATTCCTGCAAAGTTCTACAGAATTTGATGTCGGCTGCAAATGGGACATAGGACCTTTAAGGTTGACTGACACCGTCAACTTCTTCGGCCTTTTGGTCCTTATTTTAGAGAATTTACTACGCTAACATCGAAAGCTGAAAAAACCCATCTTTTTCTCTGTTTCATATATTTTTGTTTTGTCAGTCTGACAGGCTGTCAGTCTCATGGCCCGTGAGGTCTTGGACCTTTTGGAAATTTCTCTCTTTATTTGTCCCAATATCAATTTTATATTTTACTTCATTTCATCAAAGATAAATGATTAGGGTTTGGGTTGCAATTTGGTCTTAGATTAGTTTTATGGTTGGGATATGGGCGGAGTGTTGTGATTTTATCAGGGTTGAAGTTAAGGATTTGATTAGTGTTGGAAATTAACCAACAAAAATAATTGTCTTATTGGCATGTGTCATACAATGCTCCAATAAAAAGGCCTTGAAAAATTCATTCAATATCTCCTTTGTACCATTCTCCAGCTTACCACTGTAAATGCATAGACCCCTGGCTGACGAACAACCGTCGCACCTGCCCCATCTGCAAGCGCAAGGTCATCCCTCCGGGCATGGCTGACTCGGACGAGGAATCTGACTCTGAGGCCGGTGACGCCCCAAACGAGAACACGCCTCTCCTATCTAGCATGCATTCAGATAACCTGAGCGACCATGGCGCGGTGGGTGGACTCGCCGAGACGGCGACTCCGCCCCCATCCCCGATGACGTCCGTTGAAGGCGATGACTACCCGCCCATCGACACCTTGATCAAGGTCGAGTCGGATTCGGAGTCTTCTGGAAGTTTCCCGCTTGAGGAGGCTAAAGGGAACATCCAGGAACCACCCAACAGTAACGTGCTCAGCGTGACCGTGCATTCTGAGAACGAAATAGATCCAAGCACGAGTAGTGCTCCCAAAGTCTGAAACCCCACCTATAGTGGGACATTTAAATTGAAGGAATGAACTGCGTGAATCATCGTCACCCGCTAGCAATTGACATCATAGAACCTTGATGATAATGAAAGACAGAATAAATGACTGACTGAATGACTAAAGGAATGGATTGAATGAACAAAGACGAATCGATTAAGCGCCATTTCAATCTTGCATCGTTATCACAATGATTCATTTATTGCACTCGATCGTGGGGAACTGCCAAATTTATGAACAGCGCCCTCACCCCACCAATGCAGGCAGTCGCATTTCCTGTGATACTCTCCATGATTTCTGCACTTTCATGGTGGGAAATTTTCCTACGGCATCAAAGAAGGAGTTGGGATGAATTTGATTTCCAAAGCAGCTGTGCACTTAATGTACACGTATCTAAGACAAGCTAACGGACGCTAGCTTCAGTTGTCATGGTTAGCAGGTTCTGCTAACTGATTTTTTTTTTATAGGGCACTTGTCTTTGAAGTATTGAATGTGATTATCATAAGGTCTGTTTGTAGCCAAAAGGGCATGTAACTCTGTTCAAGTATAATATACTTGAAGGGCGTTAACTCATATTATGAATTAACGCTCTTCTGGCTACAAACAGACGGTATCGTGATGTACATAGCACTGTTTTTGTGTTAAAAATTCTAATACATTATTTGACTTTACCACTTTAGAAATGATGATCATTAAGTACATATTTAAAAGATTGTATACCTTTGATTATACACATTCACATCAAAAAACAAATGTCATCATTTTGTGTTATGAGTTGCATTTATGGATATAATTTTTTCTCCTATTTCCATTACTCTCCGTACATACTTGTAGCTTTCTTTTCACCCTATTATCATTCACTAGGTACATTATACACTCTAGATATTTCTTTTAAACCCATATTGTTGACACATATAAATATTACTTGAAAGAAGAAAGTGAGGTATAAAGATATTAATTTTGTTCACTATATTTTGGGGAAAATTGAGAGATCTTATTAATTTCATCTTGTTATGTAAGAGGAAGCACTTATTATATTTTTTCTAAATATAAACTTAGCAACTATACACTAATGTCAATTTTTAGAAAATAAAGTGGCCAATTTTACCTTAATTTCTAAACTACTGGTATAAGACTTTATGGATAGTTTTCAGAATGCTGCTCTACTATGAAGCATTTTAAACACCCTTGTATTATCAATCCAACTTAAAGTGGCATTTCTAATTTTGCTTGTGATTAGCTCTTCATTTTTTACAAACATTTTCATATTAAGTTTCCCTTTTGTCCAATGAATGTATTTTCATGTATTTTCATGTATCTGTGCCTTAGGTACAGTGTGTTGTATATCATTGAACTCCTGTTTTCATCAGTTCCCCCTTTGCAAAGCACACGCACATCTAGGAGTCTCAGAAACTTTGTAAAGCCTATCTGCACTACCTTGGCCAGGAGGGATTACCGTAGATCTCCCTGCATGGTCACTGACAAGGTGGTTATCTCATCAAATCAGTTCTCAATTACCGTAACATAAGAAAAAAAGGGGACCATGGGGGACCAATGGTCACCGATTAGGCATTGTCTGTTATGTAGAGGGCTCAAGTAGCTATAAGTCAGGCAGTGGGGCTTTAAAGGGAAGAACTTGTTTCAGCAGCTCCATATTAAACTAGGCCCCAATTCACAATGGTGCTTTGAACTTGACATGTGGATTTAATCTGGACAGCCACAAAGCCAAAAATTACTGGCCCCTCCCCCTATCAATAATTTTTTTTTCTTTGGTTTGAAAAAAAAAATATAGGTAAAAACAAGATATCTTTTTTTCAGAAGAAGAAAGGACAAACAATACAGTTGTGTTCTTTGTGCAGTAATTTGACATTTTGCTAATTGTGATGAAATTCCTCCCCCCCCCCCCCCCCTCCTTCCTCAAGAAGTAATTTTTTTGGAAAAATATATGTAAAAAAAGACCTTTTTGCTTTTTTGAAGAAGAAAAATCAGTACAGTTGTTTTCTTTCTTTGTGCTGCATTTTGACTGTTTTGCTAGTTTTGATCCTTTTCTACGTTTTCTTGGCTGCAAATATTAACTTTAAAATTTAGACAATAGACTAGGTTTAAATCACTGTTGTGAATTTGGGGTTTGGAATCTACATGGTACTATGCAATCCTAATCTTCAAGTATAAGGATACCTTAAGTTATATTTTCATACATTAAAGTGCTCCATAATGCGATGGAATAAAAAAAATACATACACGCATATTACAGGCATTTATCTATATATCTACACCGTATTATACATTTGTACTATACTTCATCTTCATATTAGGAATAATTTGTCTTCATATGACGTTTCCGAAATTTGCCCTAAAATAAAATCCTTTCCGTAGTGTATTACTTAAAGGCATCATTTAACAATGCTTAATCTGAGATGCACGGCCCTACGTGCTACCAGTGTCTGTGATATGGTGTAATATTGAAGCCCTAAAAAACTATCGCTTCAAAATGATCAAGAAGTACCTCAAAAAGTAAAAAATCTTTGAGTGACCGGTTTTACCATACTCGTTTCCCCCAATAGACTGTAGTGTTATAAAAACCGTTTGGCAAACGCAAAATTTGGTTTCGATTTCCAATCGTAAGTATCTTGATAATCAGACAGGCGATCGGCTTGTAAAAGTCATGGAGTTCCTGACTGACCTAAAGGTTTATAATTATCATTGCAGCATGAGCTAAATCTTAGATTTTGTTTCAGAATCTGAGACAAAGTGACCGGATCCCTTTAAGGTCTCAGTTGTTCAGATATGGGGCGGCAAGCCTCTGCATAGAAGCTGCCATTGGTGTTTTTATGTAGCATGCACTTTGTTGCAAATTCACCAATCTTCTTTGTTTAGCTGCATCGTGTCTGAACGAGCCTTTAGCAATGACTACCGGTAATAAACGTTTAATGTAGCGTACACTCGGGTGCAAATTCACCCATCTTCTTTTTTTTTAACCTTTGCTTTGCTGTGTCTGTATGCATCGTGTCTGAACGAGCCTTTATTAATCACCGAATATAGCATTTAATGTAGTGTGCACTCACTCAATCACTGAATTTCTGTTTACACCTTTGCTTATTCTCTGCTTAGAGCCGTGTAGAAGAACATGAGCAAATGTTTTTCTGGCTCTGAACAGAAAATATAAGATTAAATGAGCTGCTTCGGAGATAGCACTTGTTCAAGCAACCCCCAAATATCCACAGACCTTTGATACATGGAGACGTCCCACTTTAGCCATTTCAGAATAATCACTGCCAGAGTAGTGGAGGTGCATCAGGAATACCTTCTGTTTGCCATCTTGAATAGGGTAGAATACTTCCACCTGTGTATCCTAGAATGTACCATTGTTGCATGAATGAATGAATAGTGATTACACAACTTTCATTGACACGTATCCAGGGCCCCGTTGCACAAAACTTACCATTGATGGTAACTTTGCCATCAATGGTAACTACCATGGAAACCCCGATTTTGTTTGGTTGTTGAGCCCTGTTACTACCATGGTAGTTGCCATTGATGGCAGTTACCTGCAATGGTAAGTTTCATGCAATGGGGCCTTGCAGTTGTCTTGACAGCTTTTACAATGTTGGTACGAGTGACCTTCATCTCCTCGTGCGCAGATAGCATCTCTGAAGTGGTGTATTGAGTTGATGCTGTGCTAGAGTATGTACACATACATGTACATGTGAAATGATGTAAAGACATTCAAGAAATCACGTCGATGGCAACTTTTTACACCTATTGTATTGCGTATAGAAACCATGTTTGGATTACATAATACATGTACATGTACATTGTCATGTTAGCTCATTACATAAGATGACAGTCAGGAGTTAAAATAGGCCGTTTTCATAATGTAATCAAATTTAATGTCCAAATATTGTTTAAGTGCCTCGTTAAAAGTTATTTCATTCTCCTGTTACAAATATTTGTATTTCTATACTGGTAGTCAGAATGCCAATTGACTGCAGTCCGCATTCTGACTTTTGAAATACAAATAGTTATAAAGCTGCATGAAATAATGTGTATCATGGCACTTAAGAGAAGGTTGAGTTCTGGGAAGAGGTAATTTGTGAGCGTTATCATTCTTATTATGCAAGTGTGGAAGAACATCAGAGACATGTTCCCTGAAAAGCATTGCTCTTCAAATGCCTTCATATTCTAAATATTTCATGTAACATCGTAAAAATCCAGGGTCGGATTTCTACGCCACGTGTTCGTGTAGTCCCATATACATCTTTCTGTGTACAGTGTTTGTAACTTCACCAAGACTTGGCCAAATTTCTTATCATTTTGATGATTCCAGAACCTTGCAATACACACAAATTCTTATATGCTAGATGATCAACCTTTTCTGGTTGATTCCACACCGTTTCTTTCACAATGCAATCGCATGACCAGAACTCGACTTCATCTTTAAGAGAGATTTATGCATTAGATTTGATGACATAAAAACAAATTGTCTATAGCCTTACAAGTAGGTTGATTTTTTTTGAAAGTCTGTGGAATCTTGTTACATATTATATAAAATATTTCTCCATATTTGGATATAATATTATCAGTACCGTAGGCCGAATACCATTGATTTATTTAATTGCATGATGGACTTGCAGCAACCAAATAAAACATCTAAATATTCTTTCTACCTTATCCATATAACAAAGAGAATAGTACTAAGTGCCTAGTTATTGAGAGAAATATAATGTACTGGTTGTACAGTAGGGAATACATTTTTTTCTTTTGCTTGTTATATGTACTTGCATACATGTATATATTTACACAAACATACATATATATATATTTGATATAAATTTGAAGAGTATATAATATATGTGACCATCCACCTTAAATCTCCAAATAGCAAACTTTGAAGACGCATCTAGGAGCAGCCGCTCTTTTGCCCGAATGCTATTAAAGAAATTAAGCATGTTTTATGCTTGTAAGTAAACAACCGGGGGACAGATGGCTTTAAAGAGAAGGTTGAGTTCTGGGAAGAGATGAAAAATAATTTGTGAGCGTATCATTCTTATTATGCAAGTGTGGAAGAACATCAGATAAGACATGTTCCTTGAAAAGCATGGCTCTTCAAATGCCTTCATATTTTAAATATGTCATGTAACATCGTAAAACTCTGGGGTAGGATTTTTACGCGACATGTTTGTGTAGTCCCATATACATCTTTCTGTGTACAGTGTTTGTAACTTTACCAAGACTTGGCCAAATTTGTTTTCATTTTGATGATTCCAAAACCTTGCAATACACACAAATTCTTATATGCTAGATGATAAACCTTTTCTGGTTGATTCCACACCGTTTCTTTCACAATGCAATCGCATGACCACAACTCAACTTCATCTTTTAAGTCCTCTCTAATGGACTACATAATGAGGATTAATGCCTTCCCAAAAGGCATGAGCGCATTGACTCAGTTTTGAACCTCTTGGTTTATACAAGACCACCACTCTACCACTGAGCCATCGTGCCTCCTTGTGCTATTGTGTAATAGGATTCAGGGTGGATGGTTACAATGATTGTAAATTTGTTGTATAATTATGTCTATTGAGAATAATTTTTAAATGTACTTGAACATCTGATTTTGAACTTCACAATATAATGATCTTAACCACAAACATTTGGATTATGTTGGTATTTTGTATCGTCTCTTAAAGGTACTATGTCCCATTTGCAGGCCCAAAAAATGAAAAGGTTAAATTCCAACTGCATTTGAAAGATAATAATAATTTAGAACTTCCCTAAAAAAGGTGGGGCTTGAAAATGTCTTCAAGTGGGAAAATAACGACTATTAGTTGTCAAATCGACTTAGGAGCTATAGAGCCAATAAGTAATATGGTAGTCTTGATTTTCAGACTATTGTATCGAAAGGTCATACGTTTTATGCTGCGCAAAGATTCAATCAGTTTAATTTTGGCCATCACAAGAAGTGGGTGATTGATGTAGACAAATGCTCATGTACCCTTTACAGCTTAATTTGTGTATGTTCTTACCAAAGATGAAAAAAAGCCAGTCAGTCACTCAATAATGTCTGACAGTGAATTTCCTTGCATAATTTGAATATTTGGACACTGCTAACGTTTAAATTACACAGATAGGACATACATGACATATTCATAATTCCTGCAAAGTTCTACAGATTTCAAATCAAGTTGAGATTGGCTGCAAAAGA